TTCCCTACAGTGTCCCAAACCTTCAGTTATGTTAGAGGTAAACCTTCAAGGGAGCAACAACACAGGAATATTCAACAAGCCCCTTACACAACAACCTCTGAGGTGAAATATTGGGCTGGAAAACTGTTTACAAATAACCTATTTATCTTGCTAAATTAATGTTTTAACACTTTCATACAAGCCTCTCCCATTTTAAAATCTTCCTTTTTCCAGATTTAGTATTGGAATAATGACTGTCAGCATCATTGCCTCCTGATGATCAATAGCAAGAAATTCTACGTTAGGAACAAGCACAACCAGCTAAATAAGACAGTAAAAAGGCATTCCTTGTCTTGTCTTTTTTTCCCTATTTAATATTGGCAGTGCCAGTCCTTGTGGACAGCAGAAGCAGATTGCTTTGGAGCTGGGGAACTCTTCCAGAACTACACAAGGAACTGTACAGTTTGTGGGCTACAATTTGGTAGTGCACACAAGTGAGATGAGATGCACAGGCTTTTTAACTCTGCCCCTGCACTTTCAGTGTGGCAGCACCTTCTACAGAAACAGTATGTGAAGGCTTTGGCTGGAGGACTACATTTGTGAGTCTGCGAACTTCTCCCTAGGTTCTCAAGAAGTTGGAAGGCTGAAGAAGATGTTACTGTCCAGGGACATGCAACATACACTGTGCAATAATCAAAGGATTTGTTCCTCATGGTTCCTTCCTGTCTTAAAATCTGTGATCTACTCATTTTGGTGAAAGACAACCCTTGAGGAGAAAGAGGTATCTCATAGTTAAATCCTCATCATCCACACAAGCAAAGGGTAAGGACAAATCTGGAACTGCCTTGCTCCTTTTCAGAGTACTTTGTCTGGCAGTGTAGGCTTAAGAGGAGATCCTTCATAAGGATCTTTTGGCTGGTATTTTGCACTGCACTGGACACCTCTTGCCAAGAATATTGCATGAACGGAAACAGCCAAGCTGCTCTTTCTCTGCTGCCATATGTCATAGCTAATAAAAGTTGTGGCCTTGATAGTTTACCGAATGTAAGTGTGCAAATGGATCAAGTCCTATCACTCTTTGCTTATCCAGAGCACAGGAGGAGAGGACATCATCAGGATAATTTCCTGAGCATAGCAAAAATTAAGCCATGTTCCTGGTCGAATGTTCAACTGGATTCTTTAAATATTTTACCAGTGACTGTAAAAATAGCACATCTAATCAATGAACCCAGTACAGTAGTTCCTGCAAAACCATCTACAGAGTGAGAAAATCATCACAGAAAAGTTTACTCTTGTAACTCTTTTTTGGCAGCAGCTCTTACTTACCATTTTCAACATTTGCCAGTCGATGCAGAAGTGGTAACCACACTAGACACTGTGGCGGAGGATCAGACATGAGCGTATCCAAGAAAGTGTTTAATGTGACTTTTTTCTGCTCAAACAAGCAAACAAACATGCACAAAGAATCAGTAATTAGACATATCAAACTGATTTTATCTTGCCCTTAAGGAAACACTTGGAAACAAGTTTCAGACACTGTTTGCTTGTAGCCCCGGTTTACTAAAAAGAACAAGTGATACTAGCAAAGATTTTCCAGACAATTTTTAGTAGTTACAATGTATACCACTGATGACTAGCAGTCCTTTTCACAAGGTTGTGTTGAATTGGAGATACTTACCTCCCATTCACTTCAAGACTCTCTTATAAAGTCATTGCCTGAAGATGCCTTGTGAATAAGGTTGGCATTCAGCTCTTCATGTTCTCATGTGTTTTGAGTACCCCATAACGAGTACAACTGCATGCAGGGTATCACTATGTATTACCAATTTTCACATGAAAAGCCACGGCAGAGAATGACTGGTGGTACTCCAACAAAGAAAACTAAAGAAAATAATGACAAGGGAATATAAATTCAAAACAAATATAGGGTAAGGACAAACCATCACAGGCAATTGTCTTATGCTGTCTGTTGAGTGATGGTAACTGGTTATGGGTAAGCTCTGATTTTGGGATGACATGTTTGCAGATGCTCAGGGACTGCAACTGTTCCTAAACAATCCACACCTGTAAGCACTTAAAGGCCTATGCCCCTTTATCTTTCAAAGAGGTTCAAACTCTAAAGTATCCCTGTCGATTTAAAAAATACAATCTAGGGCTTTAAGTTTCTTAGGCATCTGGAAAAAGTCAGCACAAATCTTAGTTCATTTGTTTTTTTCAGACCTAGAGGTGATATTTCAGCCTGAGATACCTCCATCATAAATACTTGCTCTTTCCTACCTAGTATACTGGCTACACAAGTGTGTATTAAAGTACACAGCTACTGAGTGGTCAAGGACAGAGGGTCCTTAAGAAATCAGCAACTGAACCTTCCTTTAAAGTAAAATTAAGATGCAACAACACTGAGCCCTGTTGAGAATGTGTGCAGATATATTTTATAGACATACATATTTAAGTAGGATCCCCACATCCAAAGGGATCACTAAATTTTCATATCTGATTGCATAAGCTACTGCTTTAACTTGCTAAAGAACTGTGGTTATCCCATGAGGAAAGAAAAACAGCAGCTATGCAGTGACATGTATCATCTCCATGTGTTGTGGAGTGCTTTTAAGAGCTGAGATTTCCAAATGGAGTGTTTGTGCTGCATTTATATACAATTGCCACCAGATGTAAAGAAAATCATTATTTCTCTTATAAACTGAGTGATCAGTTGAAAATATCTCACTCTGTAACAGTCTCAGGGCTGAAATATTGCAAGATATTGGGAAACATATAAAGGTATTTGTCCCTAAAAGAAGAGAAAATACTTCAGGCTAGCTGTGAAAATGGTCTTGATTCTCTAATGAACAGAAATAGCCAGAATATGAGCTCTAAATCTCACTGAGAGACTATATTTTCCCAACATCACCTGCAGTATGAAAGTCCAGTCAAACAGCTACCATCTGCTTGTTGTATGAATGATCTTCCCAGCCATGGAGGGTGGATAACCACTTCCCGAATGGGCATCCTATGCTATAAGGCCATTAGCTCACAGAAAAGGAACTTTCTTTTGGAAATCTGCTGTGGATGTCTGGCATGGCTTTGCTGACCAATGCCACCAACAAATGTCTGTGCTGTCTGCAGCAGAACTGAGAACAGGAGGAGAAAAGGCAGAACTAAGTCTCGGAAAAGAAGGGTCCTCCAGTGCCCCATACTGCAGAGCTGAGTAGCCTTAAGTCTTCCCTCTGCTCTTGAAGGCAGATAAGTTGGCAGCAAACACACAACCAGTCTAAACAAGCAAATAGATGGGGAGACAAGAACAGCTCTTCCACAATGGAACAGGCTTTTAACGCAGCTATAATTTAAAAGTTGATTTGCACCAAATAAAGCAACTTAGCTTCACTGACAGCTTTATGGCTGAACTCCTCTGGTGGTCACTGAATTTATTACGGATTATAGAGAGCAGTGTCCCTTAAAAGGACACCAGCAGAGCAATTTCCATACATTTTAAAAGGCACGTTTTCCTCCTGCAGTTTTTTTTTTTTTCAGCTGCTGGGTAAGTTGAAACTGAAAGCTGTTTTCTAAATATACGCTACATGCAGATGGAGTCTAGGTTTGTGGAATAACACTTAGCCAAGTGCTAAGAAAATGAAGTTAGTGTCTATCTTTTTAGTTTGGGATAAAAAAAGAGAAATAAAAGTTTTTTTATAATAATAACACTACTTTTTAATACAAATACAGTATAACATCACAGTAATCCTACCTATGGTGGTGATAAAACTCCTTTTTGTGCCACAGATTTATATTCTGAAACAATAAGTCACTTGCTCTGGCATTTCTGCTCCATAAATTTGCTGATGAGGAAACACTGTTGTTTCTATTTTGAATAGCCATTCAATCTAGCAGTGGTTCACAGACAGAGGAAAATACATAGTTTGATGAAGTAAAATTCCCCAGTACAATGCGGAATAACAAAACATTTCTGCAATAGGAAAAATCCTTTCAGATGCAAACTGAAATGGCTTTGACATCATGAGCAGAAGATAATTCCCAGAATTTTTTCTTTCCCTGAAATTGAGGAATCTGTCTATCAGAGGGCTGAAAGGCTTCTGGTAAGCAAAAGTGATCCATACTGAGAACAACAGAGCAAGTGCCAAACTTACCCGAAGGTATCAACTTCTGATAATGTTAAGTGCAATATGAGAGAGCTGCCCGGCAGAGAAGGACCTGGGGGTGCTGGTTGACAGCCGGCTGAACATGAGCCGGCAGTGTGCCCAGGTGGCCAAGAAGGCCAACAGCGTCCTGGCCTGTATCAGAACTAGTGTGGCCAGCAGGAGTAGGGAAGTGATTGTGCCCCTGTACTCAGCACTGGTGAGGCTGCACCTTGAATCCTGTGTTCAGTTTTGGGCCCCTCACTACAAGAAGGATGTTGAGGTGCTGGAGCGTGTCCAGAGAAGGGCAACGAAGCTGGTGAGGGGTCTGGAGCACAAGTCTTATGAGGAGCGGCTGAGGGAACTGGGGTTGTTCAGTCTGGAGAAAAGGAGGCTGAGGGGAGACCTTATCGCTCTCTACAACTACCTGAAAGGGGGTTGTGGCGATGAGGGTGTTGGTCTCTTCTCCCAACTAACTAGTGATAGGACAAGAGGAAATGGCCTCAAGTTGTGCCAGGGGAGGTTTAGATTGGATATTAGGAAAAATTTCTTTATCGAGAGGGTGGTCAAGCATTGGAACAGGCTGCCCAGGGAGGTGGTGGAGTCACCATCTCTGGAAGTGTTCAAAAAACATGTGGATGTGGTGCTTCAGGACATGGTTTAGTGGGCATGGTGGCGCTGGATTAATGGTTGGACTTGATGATCTTGAAGGTCCTTTCCAACCTTAGTGATTCTGTGATTCTGTGACTAAGACTGTAAATATCACTTATCATAGTGTCATAGGGATATGTTGTTTTGAGTCTCATTTCAAAACTCTGGTTCATCCCTTGTTAACACGTAACGAGGATTACATAAAGTGAATTTAAGTGAAATGTTAGACTAGATTTACAAGAGCACTTGGCTGCCTACAGATGCAAAACAGCAGCTTTGTAAATCTGCTGTGTACCTACATCAGTCAGAGACCTAACTCTCGTTAGCTTTAAGTGGAGATTGTGAACTAAACCATCTAATGCTTGTTTGGAGACCTTATTTTTTAAGGTACCTTAGTACCCTTTCATTTCGATGCAATGTCAATGAAAATGCCCTTTCTAATGGCTGCTTAGATAGAAAATGAGGCCTGAATGACATTTTTTCAAGAGAAAAAAAGGCGTTTTTCATCTTTAACATTACCGTGTCCAACATGCAAAGCTTGAATGCCCTGTTGCCATGCAAAGCTCTCTTTTATTATTTTAACACAAAACTACCAAAAATCACTTCACTATGTAAATTCTTCAACATAGGATGAGGTGCTGTATTAAGTCTCCCTCTGTGAAACAAGACTAGTTTCACACATGCAAGCATTACCATTTAAAATTATTTGGGAGATGATTCAATAAATTAATTTCAAAAATGCCTTTGAGTTGACTGGAATGCCTATTGATTAGTGATGAAACTGAGGGAAAATAAAAAACGAGACTCAATTTTGCATGAAAATGACATTATTCCTCCTCCGTTCAACTTATTTGTTCAACAGTATTCAGTTAGTGTATGGAAGGATAAACAGAAGGAAAATACCACTTTATTTCTAACATTTTCCCAGTTTCAGCATCTTCCCTTACCTTACATTTATGGAATTATACAGTGTGATGTAAGTCAAGAGCCAGAGGGATCCCCTTCTCCATTGGAGAGGTGGACACCCAGCCCCAATTATAAGATCTTTTGAAGTGCTAGCTATTAGATGCAGCCAATATGTATTCATTGCACCTACAGAGTCTGGCGAGTTGTGGAAAAATCTTGTATTCAGCATAAATTAATTGCTTTCCTGACCCTAGCTTATTGATGTTATCTGTAAGAGACTAGAGATTTTCTAATACCTAGTGATTCCTATTTTCAATAAAGGTTTAAGGTAATTTTCTACTCACTTGTGAACTTTGTGTGTCTGTACAGTGTCACTTCAAAAACACATAGTTTGATTTTTTGGTGAGAATTGAGTTTTGTGTGGAGAAGGTGAAGTCTCATATATGCTTGCAGCAACAACAACTAACCACAGAGGAGGACTGCATGTCTTGGGGCATTTGTATCACCTAAATGTATCCAACTTAGGTGCTCAAATTAGGACGTTAGTCTCCTCAGGCTTCCTCATTTAGGATCATGTAAGATAAGATCCTGCACTGAATCGCTTTTTGACTAAGCCTTTCTCTCCTCCATGCTTATAGGGGGAACCTATAGAGACTAGCTTCCTATTGAAGGCACCTGGCCTACATGCTAGAAATTAGCAAAGTGGACCTCCCCTCCACTCAGCCGTATGTTTCCTGGGCAAATATGGACATACGTGTAAGAAAGGAAGGAAGCCTCAGCCTGCTCAGAGGTGTGATTGGGATCCTGTGTCTAAGATGCTCACTGTTCATTTACCTGTTGCGAGAAACAGGATTTTGCTGACTGCTCAGTGTAACCGAAGGAAGGCCCTTCGAAAACAGCCGTGGGCAGCTTGAGAACCTCCCGCAGAAACATGTCGTATCTGCCATAAACCATCACTCCACTGGAGTCGGAAATCATTGAGAAAATATCTGAGGGGGTAGAAAAGACAAGAAAAGGACACGGCAACTTCAGTGAGAGCTACGGATTTGCTCTGAATTCAGTATCATCTGATTTGAACCAGAAGTGCTAAACAACATGTGCTGCTTTTGGAAACCTTCACTATTACTGCATCTTTAATTATAACCTCTCTCAATAGAAAACAAAAGGAATGATTTACATATAAAAAAGTAGCTGATTTTGATATTAAAATATTCCTGCTTTTTTCCATTGCACGTGGTCATTTTTTTAAGCAAAGTCTGAAGCATGGCATGAGGCAGTAATTTAATCAGATAAGAAGGATCTAATTTGACAAGATATGCAACATCAGCTTTTTGCCTACTGCCAGCTTACTATGACAAATCCAAATCTTCACAATGAGTTCATTAAGTCAGTTGTTATTGTTTCAGACACACAAAGCACTGAAGGTCTTTCAAATGCATTACTTTTCACTCTTCTCCATTTTTTTGCTCTTTTGTTTATGTCTAAAATATCATGGTTTTATTACTCCAGAGATGCATGTTTCTCAGCCTTTACTTTTCCCCTTGTTTAAAATTATCCTAAGCTTAGCAGGGGATCACAGACTAGAGAACATTTATAATTTTTCAGGCTGTCATGTCAGCTGCTTCATTTCCAGGAACCTAGAAGGAAACTTCTGACAACAGGATTCTGGGACTGCTGACTCAAAAAATCAGCATCGTACTCCAGCTTTCCACGGGATGGACGCTGCTCCTATTCTTAAAGCAGCCTAGGGAACAAACAGCATTCAATTTATAACAGTGTTCAATTTATAATTTAAGTTCAGTCTGTTTTTGAGTTTCTATATAGAAATAATATATTAAAAATTGGCACCAAATCTGGAAGACTAAATTAACACCTGGGATTTCTACTTGTCTACTCTAATCAACAATTTGTAAAGTCAGTTTTCTTCAGCTGTGGTAGAAGGCTCAGAGGAAACTGACAGTTGACATTAATCCTTTGGTCAAAAAGTATGGAAAAAGGTGTTCTGGATGTGAGCTACAGACATCTTAGCAATAAATAGGAAGTCTTTCATTGCAGCTACTGGTAAACTATGCCTTGGCTATTGGGGAACTGGGAATAAATCCTGTGAAATGAGAATCTGTTCTCCAAAACAGACAGAACTACTATGTGCCCTATGGGAAGATATATAAATACTGCATAAATACATTGTACTTCTAAGTGTGAAATGAGAGAGGTGTTATTAAAAAAAAATCTGAAGAAATTTCAAGCACTTACTGTACTGTTAATTCAATCATCCCAAAGAAAAAAAATCAAAGTCCACCAATCACAACCTCAATACATGCAGTTTGTCTTAAAAAAAAAAAATGAAGTCCATTGTGAAGTTCAGCCAAACGTTTAGCAGGATTTACTTGGAGATATATATAGTGCAAACCCTAAACCCAGCCATAAAACTGCAACTTATCTCTCTTCCTACCTGTACTGTTATCTCTCCAAGTGCAACAATGATTAACAGGTAAAAAATGTGTCACCCAGAAGACTTACATCTTAATTTGTCCATGATCTTTCCTCCACAAAGAGTTGCCAAGGCCATTTTGACAGCAAAAACGGAAATTTTACCATGTCCTTCCCTGTTCAAAAGTAGAAAGTAGACATATTTTATATGTCCATTTTATAATATGGACCTCTTTTCACTTGAAATGTATATCATTGACATGATATATTGTAATGTACACTCTATGTGGATTGATATGCCAAGAAATAAGACCGTCAAAATCAAAGTTCCCTTTGTGGGAACACACATCAGTATATTGTTCTGTAAAGATCTCAGAACAGATTTATTATGCATAGGAAGCTCAGTATTAAACTGTTTATCTCATTATGCACTAAGGTGATGATTATTACTGCTATTCGTGCTACAGCAGCACTGAAAGACATGTATCACACTCATGGTCTCCCCATCCTAAGTGCACTGTGTATCTTTTGTCCCTAGAAGATTTCAAGTTAAGTGCAAAAATCAACGCTGGGAACAAAAATGAAAAAACAGAAAGGGCTCACACGATTGCATAAGCTGCACATTGTACTTGTCAGTAAGTCCTGACAACTGCCTTTTAAATGATACACTTGACCCCTATGAACCTTTAAGAAGGACTTTGCTGAAAAATGGGGAATAAATCTGCACCCAGAATGAGCAAAGGACATTTGTTGTGATATGTAGAGGAGTCTTGCCTCTGGTTTGTTCAAGTTGAGGCTATGCCTGGCTCTCTATTTTCAACTTAAAACACATAATGCTATTAAACCCAAAACCTTAGGTATATGCCTTGGGGCAGAAAGATGTAGCTTTTTCTGTAAATCCAGTCACTTTCAGGTAAAAATAAAGGGCTTTTTTTTTCTCCCTGGAGGGATCAGACCACATACTGCACTCTCAGGATGCAGCGTTCACCTTTAGCACATTGCCAACTTCTTCAACTGCCTTGAAGCATGCAATGGCTTAACTTTATTGCTCTTCTTGCTATCCTCATTCTCCCATTACAGTCATGATGGTCCCCAATGACTACCCGCCATTACAGAAGCCGTGGTATATTTGAGCTGCATGAATAATACATGACTTCACACACTGCCAGGCACTCGTAGTTCCTAAAAGACCTATCCCTCAGTTTAGCCAAAACTAAGTCCATTTTTGACAGGAATGGCAGAACAAAAATGCTGTAATGTTTAGTCCCTTTCCAAAGATGAGAATGAACATGCTCTTGTAAGTTCATCTGCTTTTTAATGTTCATTTTTTTGGCATCCAAACAGTAAATGTGGTTTTTCTTGGAATTCTCAGAGTCTTACTATAAGGTAGTAAGAGTCCACAGCTGCACTGGAGCAACTATTATCTGTCATCCAAACTCCTTAGCATTACTCGATAGCTTTCCATATGCCTGTTTAATGACATCGTGTTTAATGAGAACACATTGTTGTCATGCTTTAAAAAAGAGACAGTCTTTATCAGGGAACGTTATGTTTATAAGAGATTTCCTGTTAAAATATGCATAATTATGTCTTACATAAGATAGTCTAACTGCACTGGCAATAGCAATATACAGAAATTTAGCTCTTCATCAATATTTCTGAAATTACTCTGTTGTCACTCATATTCTAATGAAGAAAATTGTGTCTGATCATGACTAAAAGATAAACTGATTCTGGAAAGACACAGAGCCGGTGACTGTGTGTCTCTCTCTGCTAACCCCAAATCAGACTAATACGGTAACATATACATACATCATAGACAGGAATGGTATACTCATATCAGTACATTAAAGCATGCTATATCCTTCACTGCTATGTTCATTAAGTCACTCAGACTTTAGAAAATTAGAAGTTCCCTAAGCTTGGCTAGGTAATAATCTTTAAAGTTCAGTAAACTGGATTTAGTTCTACATCAGTTTAACCCATTATTCTAAATATTAATGTTCTTAACATGTATTGAAAACTCTGCTTTTTGTCAGAAAATCAACTAGAGATAGAGATAAAAAGAAATAAATACACTGCTTCAGTATTTAAGAAATAAATCTTTACTATGTTCTTTAATCCTGGCTTTTGTGCACATCTTCTTTTTCATTATATAGTGTTCTCTTTGACTGGCTTCCTAAGATTAAAATCACACCATAGGAATTTCCAGTCTTCTGCATTTCTCATTTGACTTCTTCATTGACTGGATTCTAATTTCTGTAAACCAGGACCTAGCACTGCTAGAGCTGAGAATTTGGTAATTTTGTATTCTTTTTGTGCATGCTACCCTTTAGACCTTTGGGGATTTTAATGCACTCTTTCATCATGAGGTTTTCACCTGCCTTTAAAACAGTTGCTATACATAAGAAAAATAAATGCTAAGTGGAAGCAATGGTGTCATTAAGAAGCAACGGAAGAATTAGAGGAAAAAAAAAGCCCACGTGGAATTGCTTCAGATTTAGATTATTTTTCCCAGTAGGTTTAGTTACATTTACTAATAGGATTATATTTTTGAATGGCAGACACATATCAACTCGTGTTCAGCTTTCCACCTCAGAGCCATCGGCTTTTCCCATACTCAAACAGTTATAGAACAGAGGAACAGAAAGAGAAAAGATTTTATTTATCTCTTCAATCTCTCCTTTTGAGTTGATTAGTTTTGACACTGTATTTTGTATTGGTCATTTGTATTCATAAAAGCATCACTAGAGCCAGTATAAATTCAATTTGCCCTCCAAATATGTATGTGTGTGCGTGTGTATGCGCATACATATACACACATGCATATATAACTATATATGACTGATGAACGATCAGGATAATGGAGCCTAAGACTCGCCAATATAATTTGGATCCAGAAGTGCCCTAAGCTATATCTAAGCACTACAGATGCCCTTGACTGGCAGCTCTGGGGCCTCGCAGTGTTTGCTGCGTAAAAGTATACGCTGAAGCAGTGGCTCACAGCAGCTTGAAGATCCCTATTGAAGCTGGTTCTCCCTGAAAGAAGCTTTAGGCTGGCTAATGCAAAGAGATATAAATTTTACTAGTGGAAATAGGAGAGGACATAACATATTTTTATTTTATATAGCACCTCTCTTACCAAGGTTACTCTTCAGCTCCCTACAGCAAAGCACCCTAAATGATGGCAGAGGCAAACCTTGAAGCTGATACGCACTTAGTGACAGCACAGGATGGAGCAGTTCGGAAAGGCAATGATGGCCAGGGCTTAAGGTTATCTCCTGCTGCTTGGGGAAAAAAGGGCAAAAAATAATACATGCTTTTAGACACCAGAGCAGAGCAGAAGGTTTCGTCTCCAAATGCATGGCCGCAGAGAGAGCGAGCCTCTCCCAAGAGCAAGGAAGCCCCACAGGCTGCCTGATAAAATCCATGCACCATACAGGGCTAAGTCCAGCTCCAGGGCCTGAATTTGTTTTTCGGGTCAGCAATGTCTATGATGTATGTGTATGTTACTGTATTAGCCTGGTCTGGGGTTAGCAGAGAGAGAGACACAGTCACAGGCTCTGTGTCTTTCCAGGATCAGTTTATCTTTTAGTCATGATCAAACACAATTTCGTTCATTAGAGTTATGAGCGACAATCAACAGAGTAATTTCAGAAATATTGGTGGGAGATTCATTTCTATACATTGCTACTGCCAGTGCAGTTAGACAATCCACCATCCACCAAATGGATGACACTGACATTTGTCAGGATCTCTATCAATCCTCGTACTGAGACAGCCATATGGTGGGGAAAGCTGTAAAGAAATAACATCTTTAGATTTAGATATCACATCTTTAGAAATAGCAAATGTGTCCTGTGAAATGGACATTGAAAAAATGTGATTTTTTTTTCATTAACTAGGCATGAAGTGGTGCCTCCCCAATGCTTTAAGTTATCTTTTCCAAAAATAACGAAATTTGTTCGGCTACTTGTGGGCCTCCTACTGCCCACCTTCATCAGGGCGGCCAATTCCGAAATGCCACAGATTACAGATTCCCATTTTCACAAACAGGTTTCAGAGTGGAAATTTTATTGGAATCAAGCAAAATTCTTTCATTTAGGAGAACAAAATGCATAATGACCAAATCTCCAAAATGCATTTTTTTGCTGGACTTCCTTTGTAAAAGCTAGCTGGCCTGTACGGCTTTCAATGATCAGTGAAGGTGGAGAAGAGAGAGAATTAAACACTTCACAGCTCTGAATAGATGGCTGAGCAAGAAGTTATACTTCCAAAACAGATATTGAACATCTTTATGTATTGAACTCACTATGATTCAGATATGCATTTTGATGCATATGCCCCCCATAAACAAGGGCATGAATATTTTGTTTGTCTTTGTAGAAGTGTCCTGGTTTCAGCCAGGGTAGAGTTAATTTTCTTCACAGAAGCTAGCGTGAGGCTATGTTTTGGATTTGGGATGAGAAAATGTTAATAAGGTGCTGATATTTTGAGTTGTTGCTAAGTAGTCAAGGACAGTCCAGCTTCTCATGCTGGCCTGCCAGCGAGCAGGCTGGGGGTGCACGGGGAGCTGGGAGGGGACACAGCTGGGACAGCTGACCCAGGCTGGCCAAAGGGATATTCCCTACCATATAAAGTCACGCTCAGTATATAAAGCTGGGACAAAGAAGATGGAAGGGGTGGAGGGACATTCGGAGTGATGGCGTCTGTCTTCCCAAGAAACCATTACGCATGACGGAGCCCTGCTTCCCTGGAGATGGCTGAACCCCTGCCTGCCCATGGGGATTAGTGAACAAATTCCTTGTTTTGCTTTGCTTGCGTGCGCGGCTTTTGCTTTACCTGTTAAACTGTCTTTATC